TTTGTTTTATTTCATTAAGTCATTTGTATGTATTTTGTGTTCTAGGCATATTACATACGGTAAACAACAAACTCTAACAAAATACATAAACATATTTTAAAAATCAGAGCTCTGAATCATTCCCAACAAGCAGCATGGCTTGTCTCATTACCTCCCTCCCATCCATAATCATTCCTCCTCCCCCAGGAAAACCTGTCATAACATGCAAATATTCCAGCATGCCCTAAAGGTCACCACATTTGGGACTTAATAACCCAGTGTTGGAAGGCAGTTCCAAAACCAAGGGCAGCTAATTCAAAATGCACTTCCCCCTAGCACTCTCCCAATTATATCACTGGGCAAGCAGCTCCAATGCGTCAACTGATCTCTACCACTGCTATATCATTTGGAGAGGAGGTAGTTTCTCAGGGACACTGGACCTAAATTATCTAGACCCTTTCAGGTTTTTCTTTAAAGTTCAGGTTTAAAAAACCCTACAAAATTCTAGGTATTTGCTGCTACAGTATAAGCATTTCAGCATCTCATCTGTTATGTTTAGATTGTAAGAAACTGATTCTTCACTGCTTTGTCCTTGTAAGTAGTCTGCACATCTGTGCAAAATTGATGTAAATGTCAAGGACTCAAACCATCTATTATATCAGAATAGTAGAATTTTACACTCAGTTTGCCAAGTGTAAATGACTACACCCGGTGTAAGAAAATGGAAAATCGGGCTCTAAATTTTCAGAGCTTGGAACTCAGTGTTCAGTCTTTTGTAGCACCAGATCTGTTTGTTGGCACTTAACAAAAATGAATGTTAATTTGCAGGTTGGAGGTCTAGATATTTACATGTAAAATAAACCCATGTCATTGACTGAATATACTGAAGAATTGTAATTAATATTTCCTGCTGATACCAGAAACCACACAATGTAATTTGAGCAGTACTTTGTAACATATTTACTGTACTGGCTCTAGGGTGACCAGATGTCCCTATTTTATAGGGACAGTCCCGATATTTGGGGCTTATTTTTATATGGGCTCCTATTACCCCCCACCCCTGTCCCGATTTTTCACACTTGCTATCTGGTCACCCTAACTGGCTCCCACAGACAGCCCTAAAGACTGTGGCTTCTCCCACATGGAGGGAAAGGAACCTTGCTTTAGGAAGCAACTCAATAGAGAAGATCAGGGTGGGGGTATGCTTCCTGCTTGCGAAGAGAGCATAGCTGTTTGGTAACAGTAACCAGCAGCAGCCAGGGAGCTGCCTCTCTACCCTATTGCAATAATAAACAGATGTAGTTCTGTTGTTTATTGAGCTCATGCCTGCACCATTATTCCTAAGGCTCTGGCTGACTGTGCTAACCCATCAATAAGTAGATTGTAAGGTCGTGTAATAATATTAAGTAAGAAAAAAAATTAGATAGCTTTGTCTATTGTGCAGTAAAATGTGAAGAGAGCCTCGTGTACATGAAATAAGAGGACACATTGGTAGGAAATTAACAGTAAGCTTTGAGAATAATATTTTTTTCTTTTATTTAAATTATCTTCCAGTGGTAGAATAAATATAGTGCTACAATTAACAAATTAAACATGACAAAACAATGGTTGTGATCATAGGGTATCAGCAACATACAATACAAATATGGAAAGATACTGAAGATCTTAGTCTATAAAATGGTATTGTGGTTTAAATTGCTACAATATTTATACAGAAAGAGGAAAAGTCAGTAGTGCAGTGTATTATTTAGGATAAAAATGAGCTGCCAGATTGCTTCCATAAGATAAGATCATTTCATGTTATTCATACTTGTTAAAATCAATTTTAATTGCTTTAATGGAATAAGGACAATTAAAAGTATATCAGTAAAACTGACCCCTTCTGATATCAAGTATTTTACATGTACAGAAGAGATTTGTTTTCTTTGTATTCATGTGATAACAAGTCAGCATCATCACCATTGTTTAACAACACTCTCTCTTGAAGATTGGTTCCTTGAATCCCCACTGTTTCTTTTTCCTTGCAATTTAGCTCACCCTGGAGATGGGCCAAAGTAGGGTACATGTACATTTCTATACATAAAAAGTGCAGCTGGACTCTCCCTCTTTCTTTTTTCGTGTGTGTGTGTGTGTGTGAAACTTAGGGTATGTAAAAATGATTTTATTATGTGTAAGAAACCAAAAATATTAATTTGTGAGAAATGTAGTTTAGATTGAATGATTTGATACAAACAGTTAATACTGTATTAGTAAATATACTATGGTATATTTTGTAAACATAATGAAGTCTTAGTCTATTACACTCTACTAAAATTGTAATGAGAAGTAGGAGACATTCACCATTTATTGTGCATGTTTAGGCCCCTAATGCTTAAAACACAGGAGACATCCCACTGAATGAGATGAGAGTGCTCAGGTGAATAAAGGCACACTAGAATCATACGACTGGAACGGACAGTGAGGTCAGTCCAGTCCCCTGTCATGAAACGTGCTTAAGTGTTTGTTTGCAGGAACGGGACCATAATTGTGTGGATCAAAATCCACTGCAGATATTTTCTTTTTGAATTAGGAATTAGCACCCCTAGTTCCAGCATATTTTTGTCTGCTAAGTTTGTAAAATACCAAATGTCACAACTGAGAGATTTATACATATACACAAAGAAGACCTTACTTTTCTCCTCCATTTTTCAAGAAAACTTGAAATTTTAGTTTTCCCTTTTGTTATTGGAAGGTGCCTGGGGACAGTGTTTGGTTTCCCATGTGAAGAGAGAGCTGGGATCAAATTGGTCTCCATTTGTTCCCATGGCTGCATACAGTCATGTGGACTATAGGTTAGTTAGGCCACTGCTATCATTGGATAGCTGAGCAGGAATAACTGTTAGCATGGATCTGTAATTATAGTCAGCCTCATATGTAAGTAGTAATGTGAAGAGCAACACAAATGTCCCTTTTATGCTATTTAACACAGCAGAGCAAATAATGGTGGTTTCAGAATCAATTTAGTTTAATTCAACTGAATAATTAACTATTCTCAAGTTAACTGAAAAATGTGAGTATTGCCTTCTCTTCTTTGACATTCCTCTATCTTGGGCTAGTTAGAGTTTCTTGGCTGGCTTGTCAAAAACCTACAGAATATAGATTGGCTTGTATCATGCCTTACTGTAAAATCATAAAGTCCAATCTTCTAAGATCAATCATTTTCTCTTGTTTGAAAAACATGGTTTTTACTTGGGTGGGGGGAAATCACTGATAAATATGAACTTCTTAACCAAACTAAAGCGAAATTGAGTATTTGAACATATATAATGACTTTTAAAGAATAGCAGGTAGCCATCCACTGAGTAAAAATTATTTTATGATATCTTATGAGCTATGCATTTTATCATAACAACATCAGCCAAAATTTAGTCAGTTTGAATAAAGGCATTTTTTGTGGCTTGAAGCAGCAGCATCTTTTATTTTTCTTTCGAGTTTGAAATCATTTTGGGCCCTAAAATCGATAGTCTACATACAGATTTTTTTTAAAGTAAAAATTATAAAATATGAGGGGTAATATTGGCTCCCCTTGGCATCTTGCCATTGGCTTCAGTGGGGCCAGGATTTTACCTTGGTGCTTTAAAAATGCATGTTTGACTTTTGATGAGTATATAATTATTTCAAAAAAGTAATATGACAAGCTGATTTCACTGTCTGGCTATAGCACTTTTTTTTTTCAGTTAGTGTGGTTATTCGCTATCCTTCAACAATAGCTAGTTTTGTATTGAAAACATACTTTCAATTTTCAGTGAGTCACTTTGTTTAAAAACAAGTCCACAAAATAGGATATTTTCAAGTCATTATTGGACTATATATCAAAAACATCAAATTTTGAGTATATTTGCTCTTTAAAATGTCTTTCCATATCTAATATATATCTTATTTTATTTATTGTAAGTTTATTTTTTTCTTTTTCCTTTGCGGTGGGGGGAACTAAAGTAAATAAGCCAAATACAAAGGCAGAATATCATGACCACATTGGAGTACATGTCAATGTTATTCAGTTGTTGTGCCTTGAGAGAACAAGTGCAAGTTGCCTTTCTCAGCAAGGATGATTCTCCCCCCTTTACACCCCTCCAAATATGAGAGTAGATGCTAAATATGATGCCCACTCTGAGACTGGGGAAGGATGTAGATTTTTTTTTCAGTGGTTCAGTAAAATTCTTTTGTATAAGCTAAGGAGTATGAGGACACATTGTTTTCAGGAAAGATGGTATTGGGAGACCTACTTTAACTGAAGGGATGTGCGGCATTTAGTGCTTCTGAGAAGTGAGTGCAGATGGCTGTGTACATGAGGTTAGTCATGTGGCAAACTAAAATATCTTGTGATAAGGAGGTATAGAAGTGGCAGCGTCTCCAGTGGGTTGCAGATTCTGTGAATTTTGTAGCCTATGAAATGGTGGCTGTGTGATAGTCTGTTAACGTTTTGGCAAAGTTCAGCTTCCTTTCTCAAGCCTCCTGTTTTTTCACTTGACATTTGAATATCTGTTAAAGCCATGTTTAGACATATCCCTGAACCCAGCCCCTCCCCAGTCAACAAGTGATCTTCAAAGAAGATGGACACACACACACTTTTGTTGGTCAGTGTTAGTAGTTGCTAAGAGCTATCTATTACTCATCCCTCCCATCATTTAAATTGCAATGGGATGAAGAACTTGGAATCGCTCAGGTGGATGAAGCTTGTAAATTAAATTTCAAAATATGTGGGATTTCTGATTCACAGGTGGCCAATCACGTATAGCAGTTTTTATATATGGTGGACCTGGGCTTTAGCTGTGCTTTTCAGATGGTTTGCTTTTAACAATGGTTTGTAAAAAATGTAACTTTAGAAGTATATATCTTCTGCGGGCACTACACTATTTATGCATTGTTTTGCAAGACAGGTTTAATTTTAATTCTCACACATACTAAATCATGTCATTTTCAACATTTTTCACAGCCTTAATGATGATGATTTATTTTTGTTTCTTACTCTCATTTTGCAGAGTTACATACATGGGAGCAGTCAGGCTCAATTTGTTGCAGAATCACATATTATACTACTACTGAGTATCCTTCAGAAACCGATGGATAGAACAAGGCAAGCTAAATCAGAGTATGCTATTATATGAAATTGCTCTGACAGTGAATATCATTGAAGCTTTGAACAGGTATTGCATTTTCACTTTATTTACTATATGATTAAGCAGATGTCTAGTGTTGTTGCTGTTTACTGTTGGGGAATGCTGAAGCTGCTGTCTCCTACTGTGTATCTATTTAACTGCCAACTCTAACAATCTGCCTGGTACAGTACTATTTTATATTTTTCCTTTCTTTTCTATCTTTAAATCATCAGCAGATATTTTTTCTTTGCTTTTCTCTTTGTATTGTCTGCTAATTTTAAAACTATTGTGTCTCAGCTTTCAGCTCTGTTAAACGTTGAGGAGAATATACGTGTTTTCTAGTTTGGAAAAATAGCAAAAATATTTATGAAAAGAGATTATCTTTCTAGAGCTCTTTCTATGGGAAAGACACACCTAACTAGACGTTTCCTTGTTTGCACTAACTTCTCCTTCAATTCCTGTGATGATAAATGACCCACTACAGTTGCCATTAATGTCAAGAGGAAGACTCTGAGTAACTTGAGTGGGTTAGATGAAGACCTGCATGAAAGTTTCTGTAAAGATGAACTTGTGATTTCTCTAAACCCTTTTTCTGATCGTAAGTTATGCTCACTCAATGAAAACTATAACACATGACTAATCACAGTTACCTTTCTCATGTGGGTAGCACGGGGAGGTGGAAGAGAAACAAATCAAATTCCCCAGACTATGGAGCAGCAGCCAAAACCTTAGGGTTTGGTAATCACTTTGCTCCCTCCCAAATTTTGAGGATTTAGTAAGTGGATCCACACTGATGTAGATCCATAGCCCCTGTCCTACAGGTTCCAAAGCCATCTTCATGTTTGGGAAGATGGGCCCAGTGGTGCTGCAACAATTTTTATAGTGCTGAAAATGGAAACCATGGCTTTGGGTTGTTGTTACTACTTCATACCAGAGGCTACGGCAGCACCGCCAGCACCCCTAGTTCCGGCATCTATGGGTGGGCCCCCACAAGCATGCTTCACCCCCTACATAGTGATCCACTGTCTGGGCTCCCCACTCCATGCGGTGAAACCACATCAGTTTTTCTGCCTATTGGGTCTTATGTGTCCCGTAGATGGGAAGGGGAAGATTTAGTCCCCAAGTCCTGATCTTAGGCACACTGAAGTCAATGGGAGACTTTCAATTAACTCCATTGGTCTTTTCATCAGGCCCTAAATTCATCAGATAACTGGTGAGAATATATCCTTTTGAATAGATAAAAGCATTTTTATGTGTTCTCAATGTCTAAATTTGGCATTTTTGTTTTTAATATAAGGTTTTCAAAAGGTTTAAAGTTGAATAAATGTACCGGAAATGTGCACATTGAAGATCAAATCAAGAGTTTTTCTGATTCACAGCTTCTCTCCTCATTCATAACACATAGGTGATGCCTCTCACTTGTGGAATTTGGAGATGGTCCAGTATTATTGCTAGAGGATTCAGGACTGAGACCTGCCCTTCAGCTCAGTCCACCAGAAATTCTGCCTCTAGTGGTGGAACAAGATGGCAGTTCAGCAGTGCTGGATTCCTTTTAAAAAAAGTGTCAGAATGCAGGGCAGTAGACTGCCTCAGGAGGAAGCAGAAGGGAACAGGGGATCATGGGAGGAGCTGAGAGGAAGATAGGGCGCTGGGAGAGGTGGGGGAGGACCAGGAGAGGTCACTCCCCTTAGATTCCATCCCATCCCTGCCTCCCCCCTACCTGTGTCCATCTCCTGCTGCCCATGGAGTTCTATACTATTCAGGTGAGCCCATTACCTAGCTCCTAACATCCTGGCTCTAGCTATGCCCTTAGCTCCTGGTGGCTCCTGCCTCCATGTTCCTCTGCAGTTTCTGGCTGCAGTTTCCCCAGCTCTCTCTTCACTGACCTGCCACTGAGCACACTCTGCCAGTGCCTGGCACTTCCCAACTTGGACGATTCTCTGCAGCCAGGGTGGAAAAGGAGCCTTGCCTGCCACCATCAGATGTACTGATATGCTACCTTGGCTTCTTAAAGAACCGCTGGTATGGCATTTCTGAGTATTCTGGCACAACTTAAGTTCAGTTGCTTCTCACCACTTTGTTTCACAAGTTGTTGCTGTTGTTCAATATTGACTTTATTTCAGCTTGTAGCTCCCCTCTTCCTCTCCTGAGCTGAGTCACTGCAGCAGCCAGAGTTTAACCCTCTGATCTCCCTAGTAGAGCACCGCTCTACCAGGCTCCCTCTGCCACCACAACAGTGGTAAGGAAGCCCTGCAATCTACAAGACAAAGTAAGTGTTCTAGGCAGCATTTCAGGAGCCTCGTAGAGGGAGATATACCTTGTTGCCACAAACATCCTATCCTTGTTCTGCCAGGGCATGGAGTTTCAGAGAGTTTGTGATGCCTGGCAGCCACAAACCATCAGTGTTCTCAACTCTTTCATTGTGAGTTACGTGATTTTGGCCCCTGCTGGAGTCAGTCTCACAATGACTCGAGACATTCCAGTCCCTATATGACTGAGCCCTGTGCAAGGAAGGTCCCCCTCTGATTTCCCCATCTCCTGTGGAAGAGCAGCCAGTCAGAGCTGCTGTTGGAATGTTCATGATTTTTGACTGTGGTGTTGGCAGTACTGAACCACTGACCCTCACTTTGCCTGGGAATGAGGTTTTGAGTCAGACTGATGTGCCGGAGGTGTAATTTCCAGTGTGGGAAGACATACACATGCTAGCTCTGCTCAAGCTGCGCCTAAAAATAGCAGTGTGGCTGCAGTGTCATGGGTGGTGGCTTGGGCTAGCTGCCTGAGTACAGTCCCACCCAACCCCAGAGTACGTATTGGGGCAGGTACCGCCCAGGCCACCACAATCACACTCTTTTTAGGTGCTGACTTGAGCAGAGCTAGCATGTGTATGTCTTCCCACACTGGAAATTACACCTCCCAATTGCTGTGTAGACAAACTCCTAGTGCTCTAGATCAGACTCACTGCCCCTCCCTAACCTTGCAGCATCTCCCAGCATGCAGAGAAGCCTGTTATTTCTGTGAAGCCGTGTCTCAGGCAGCAGTGTAATGGAAATAGTGCTTCTCTGGCTTTCTGTATTTAGACTGTGGTAGTACCCAAAATGTGCTAGGTACTTCTTGAATACAGAGAGAGACCCAGCCCCTGCCTCCTACTGCATTACTATTGATGTAAATACCATATTAAAAATGTACAAAGAAAACACAGATTTTTATAATATAATATATCTTATATAATAAAAATTCTGTGCTATCTTCCTTGTATATTTTTTAAATATAGTCAGGTTTGGCTGTTTTTTTGTTTTGTTTTTTTATGAAGATTCCACATCCTTAATACAAGTATGAACAATTTCCAGTGGGTGTTTGGGTGTTTGGAGGGGGGAAAGTGTTAGCAAAGTCAACATGCATCAAGATAAATAAGAAACTTCTGTTTGCATGTCATAATGCACTTGTCTGTCTTATTATTCAGGTTGTGATATCTTTTTGTTTTCTGTTTTGCTTTCTATATAATAGAAAGTCACTGTAACTGGCTGACAGAATGAATAGTTTCAGTGAAACTATTCATTGTCTCTTGCAACAAGAATTACCTAAGGCTTCATTTCACAGCTCAGTACTATCAAGCAGAGAATTTGGATGCAAAGAAATTTCACAAATAGTATAAAGTCTTACATACAAAAAACACAGTGCACAGTCAACATGTGGAACTCTTTGCCAGAGGATGTTGTGAAGGCCAAGACAATAACAGGGTTAAAAAAACTAGATAAATTCATGGAAGATAGGTCCATCAGTGGCTATTTGCCAGGATGGGCAGGGATGGTGTCCCTAGCCTCTGTTTGCCAGAAGCTGAGAATGAGCAACAGTGAATGGATCACTTGATGGTTACCTGTTCTGTTCATTCCCTCTGGGGCACCTGGCATTGGCCACTGTTGGAAGACAGGATATTGGGCTAGATGGACTTTTGGTCTGACCCAGTATGGCTGTTCTTGCATTTTTATACAGACTTTAACAATTACACATGAAAGAATTAATGTTTCCTTCTCTTTATGTTGGCAGTACTTAGTAATTGCTCCATTGCTTCGTTATTATTTTTTTAGTCAGGAGGTGTTTAGAGCAAAGATGAGTTTAAAAAAAAATGCCCGATTGATAAACAGTGATGTATTCACTTTTATCATTAAAACTTTAAAAGGTGAATTAGATTTTAAAGCAAAGTATTATGCTAATGCCATATATGTCTCATTTGGCTGCTTCTTTTCACTTTATATTTCACTTTATAATATAGAAGGATAAGGAAATAGCTGTCACTTCTAGCTATGTGAATATACAGCATGTTTTTTCTCTTTAACAGTGTAGATTTAAGGTGTTTTTAACACCTTTTGAGGAAAAGGGAAAATCTGGACTTATCTACTATTCATGACAAACTTTTCACACAACTCTTGCTTATCATTTAAGTTGTGGTAGTGCCCTGAATGTTCTAGACCCATTCCAAATACAGAAGAATACGTGTCTATTGGTTACATAATCAGATCACACTTTTTATTTTAACAGAACTACTTAAAAATCTGTTTTTTGGTCCTAACTAATTATTATAGTAAATTGCTTGAATAGTCACCAATTGTAATAGCACAGTGGAAGTTGCTTAAAAATAAATACAAATAAATACAAAGTAGAAAATGTCATCACTAAAGAAAACTTTAATATTTGGACAGTTGCAGAAATTTGATGTTTATTAGTCTTAATATTAAATTGTTTTATTTCCCAATATTTGAAAAGGGATTTTAAAGATAATTTTGAAATACCTACACAGTGGTTAATTGCCTGAAAGTAACCCTGATTTACACAGTGCAGTTTTCAGAAATTTTGCTTAGGCTCTCCAAGTTTTAACCAGTTTCAGACGTATTCAATGAACATTGAAAAGTAATGATTTTTAGTTAGTTTAAAGAGTCACTTTATTTGTGC